GACGAGGGCGTCCGCGTGGTCTCCTTCCAGTTGGGACTTCCTGCCACACCAGTCTTACTGTTCGTTCGTCAGAATGTCTTCTGAGGTGTCCTGCCCATTGGAGTCTTCTGGACTTTATGATGTTGGCGTCTGGGTAAAGTTCTTCAAGCTCTTTATTAGTTCTTATCCTATATTGTCCTGATGCTTCATCAAGCACCGGACCAAAGATCTTCCTTAGGATTTTTCTTTCCCAAACACGTAGTCTCTCTTCATTTGCCTTTGTCATCGTCCACGTTTCGCTTCCATACATCACAACGGGTCGTATGATTGTTTTATAGACCTGTATCTTCGTACATGGAAATACATGGAAATCGCCAGATGACAAAGACAACAAAATCGTCAGAAATCAAATTGATTACTTCCTAATAAAACACAGATATCGAAACTCAATTCAGGCAGTAAAGGCATATCCAGGAGCGGACGTATCTTCTGATCATAGTCTTCTTATTGCTAGATTTCAACTTCAACTAAAAAAGACACAAAAAAGCCGCAATAACAATAAACTTACATACAGAAACTAAAGTCAGAAGAAACAAAAGAAAATCTGAAACACGAAATCAACACAAATCTAGACAGAAACCCAGGAAATAACTGCAACGTAGAGCAGCAGTGGCAATTCTTCAAAACCTCTATATTGGAGCCAAGTAAGAAACTACTTACAACAACTAAATATAAGAAAGAAGAATGGATGACAGAGGAAATTCCAGAGTTGATGAATGAAAGGAGAAAAAACAAAACCATCAATAAGACGCGCTATAAACAGCTTCAAAACCAAATAAGAAGAAAAATTAGGGAGGCTAAAGAGACCTACTTCTCTGAAAAATGTAAAGAAATAGAAGAACTTCAAAACAGATATGACAACTTCAACCTACATAAAAAAGTCAAAGAACTAGCCAGAGTAGGAAATAAAAGAACCTCAAATATATTGCTCGACAAAAATGGAAATATTATATTGGAAACAGAACAAAAACTACGACGATGGAAAGAGTACATCGAAGAATTATTTCATGACCAGAGAGAAGCTAGTACATCTGTAGATAGCCAAAGAGGAGATGTAGGTCCAGAGATAACCAAATCAGAGGTTAGTCAGGCATTAAACTCAATGAAAACCAATAAATCTGCTGGTCCAGATGAATTACCAAGCGAGCTACTAAAGTTGGTCAACGAGAAAAACCTGGACATAATAGTAGAACTGTTCAACGCTATCTATACTACGGGAATCATTCCTAGAGAAATGTTGATATCAGCATTTGTGTGTTTGCCAAAGAAAGTGAATGCCAAAGAGTGTAGTGACTATCGAACCATAAGCTTAATGTCACATACCTTGAAAATTCTCTTGAAAATTATCCACGCCAGAATACACTCTAAACTGGAGCTGGATATTAGTGACACTCAATATGGGTTCCGCAATGGTATGGGTACCAGAGAGGCATTATTCTCCTTCAATGTGCTGACACAGAGATGTTTGGATGTTAACCGTCCTCTTTACGTCTGTTTTATAGACTACAATAAAGCGTTTGATAAAGTAAAACATGATCGACTCCTGGAAATTCTAAAAAATAAAAACCTAGATGAAAGAGATTTAAGGCTAATAACACACCTCTATTACAATCAGCGAGCAATAGTAAGAATCGAAAAAGAAACATCTGAAGAAATGGAAATAAAGAGAGGAGTCAGGCAAGGCTGCATTCTATCACCTCTATTATTTAACGCCTATTCTGAAGAGGTAATTCGAGAAACTCTGGAAGATGAAACAGTCGGCATAAGAGTAAATGGAGTCTTAATTAACAACATCAGATATGCAGATGATACAGTAATAATAGCCGATAGTTTACAAGACCTGGAAAGACTCATGAGCAAAATACTCATGTGTAGTAGGGAGTACGGACTCTCTCTTAATGTCAAAACGACGAAGTTTATGAAAATTTGTAAAAACAACTATAATACTAACGAAATCTTGATAGTAGAGGGCCAGCAGATCGAAAGAGTAAAAAAGTACACTTACCTAGGAACACTTATAACAGAAAATAATGACTACACGGCAGAAATCAAAGTCAGAATCGAAAAAGCACGTTCTAATTTTATAAAAATGAAAAAGGTCCTATGTGGCAAAGATCTAACATTAGCTCTTAAAGTACGCCTAACAAAATGTTACGTATACAGTGTACTATATTATGGAGTGGAATCATGGACGTTAAATCTAGATACCATGAGACGACTTAACGCCTTTGAAATGTGGACCTATAGAAGAATTATGAGGGTTTCCTGGGTAGATAGAGTTACAAACAATGAAATACTGAGAAGAATAGGCAAAGAGAAGGAAATTGAACTTACAATTAAAGAAAGAAAGCTACAGTATCTCGGACATGTGATGCGGGGCGATAAGTATGGCATCCTGCGACTCATAATGCAAGGAAAAATAGATGGCAGAAGAAGCATCGGAAGAAGACGAATTTCATGGCTGAAGAACCTGAGAGAATGGTTTGGATGCAGCTCAAAACAACTATTTAGAGCTACTGCCTCAAAAATTAAGATAGCTATGATGATTGCCAACCTCCGTAGCGGAGATGGCACCTGAAGAAGAAGAAGATTGTGACTACAACCACAGAGGAGTTTGTATACTCTCTGCTACAACGGCCAACCGCAACAGATAAAGTTGGTTCATCTTGAACCAGAGATACTTACATATCTCTGTCTTGAACGGAACCGAACGCCGACGCCAACGATGTTTATAAATATACATATAAGTTTCCCATTTGACCATGTTGTAACGCGAACGTCAACGCCAACGTAAAGTTTATAAATCAGCCTTAAGTCTACGAACCGTTCATCAGTTGCGTTCACCAGATTGTGACTCAGATTGAGAAATTTGTGACAGAACTGTAATTTAAATTTTTTTAGTAAATTTGAAATAATTGAATCTATTCTCAACTAAAAGTACGAATAAAATAGTGCATATTACGCCTATGGTTGCCACAAATAAAATAAACCGGGTTAATTTTTCTATGCACACCAGATAAAATTTCACTGAACGGCACTGGTTCCGTTCAGCATCATAGATAACTAATATAATATTAGATAGGTTCGGCCACAAATCACCTACGGTTCAGCACTGGCTGACACCGTCCGCGCGAACGAGATGCGCGTACTTATCTTTACAAGCAGAGCAGAGTGGGCATTCTCTGTGTTTAATACTCTGTGGTATAAGTAATAACCAAGAATGCTTAACTAAAAGGACAATTTCATCAAAGACCATTTACACCAAGTAGAGTAGATGGTCTTTGAATTTCATCATCCAAATATATGTCTGTCACAGCAGCAGGTGGCTGTCACGTAGGTGTGGGGATTACGAACGATTATCGATTATCGACCTTATTGCCTGTGTTGCCAATGTCCGGATAATTATCCGATTTTCAGATAATTTCGTTGTAATAATAATACTCGGTATTTATTAAATGTTTTATTTAATAAAACTTTAAGATTAACAATATACACGTTACATCTTTTTATATTAACCTCCTAACCTGTATCTCTAACTTCATGGTGCCACGCCTCTTCTTCTTCTTTTACATGTGGCCTATTACTACATTCGTGGACCATCGGATAATTTTCGGATTGAACAATTTTTTGGAAAATTTCGCATAATTCAAGGGTCTATCGACTTTTATTTTTAAATATAATTTAAATTTTTATAAGCTTAAATAGCTAAATTTACGAATGTACATAGAACTGCAAATTCTATTCTTATATAATCGAAGATGATGGAACCTATGAATTATTTCAGCGCCCTCTGTTGATAAATAGTATAGTTTTGGTTGACTGTTACTGTACAAAAATCCAGGGATCTTTGAAATTGACAAAACAAACATTGAATTTTATTTCAATCCAAGTCTAAAAGGTCGAAGTAGTCAAGTATTTCCCCTGTGGCACTTTCTCTATACTTTTGCCGATTGTTTTAAGAGTTAATAATTTGTTAATTTGCTGTATTTATGTATTATTTGTTATTTTTTATTTAAACAAATATATTTCTATCAAACTAAACTTGTTTTCTTGCCATCATTTGTCATATTAATTGTCATTTGTCATCTGTCAATAAGTCACTGTCAACTGTCAATGTCAATTATTCCATTTAATTAGTCTTCTTTTTCGATTTTTATGAATTCGGATAATTTCGGATATTTTCTTCCCAATATTCGGATAATTTCTAGTTTTGCGTTGGCAACACTGCTTATTGCTAGTGTAAATGTAAACGTTTATGGAAGATAAACCTTTTAAAGATAAACTTTTAGGAAGAATTTGAGATTAAAAAATTTAAAACGAAAAATGAATATTTTGTTTTTATATTAAAAAAATACCTAAGAAATTCACACTTTTAGAAAAATTATTCTTAATGATCTGTTTTACATGTTAAATAAAATTTATTTTTAGAACGAATGTCTTGCTAGTGCATAAAACATTAATTTAAATATTATTCTACTTAAATAAATTCAATGATAAAAATAATAACAAAATACCTACCTTGAAATTTAGTAAAAAAAAAATTAAAGTTTTACTAAATTACAATAACATAACCTTAAAATATGATCATTCATAGGAAATATATTAATACTTTGATATATTAATACTTTGATATCCTTACCTTAAAATTAACGAACAACAAATAATATCAATCTCATATAACGAATCTTCATAGTCCAAAGTCCTTATTTATTTTCCAAACAATTTAAAAAAACCAAAATTTCTATCTTCTTCTGGGACAAATAAACACAAATTAGAAATGTTTGGATAGGTTTTTAAAACTCCCGCCCATTGTACCGTCAGACTTACCGAGTCTATTCTGTGATTGACAAGAGAAAAGTAATATTTATGAAATGCTCATCGTATTCAGGTGTAATCTGATCAGCAATCAAATCACAGATAAGCTCGTCTCTCTTCTCTCTCTCTCAGTAGACACGACGTCTCGTCGACTAGTAACTAACGAACAGACACACACTTTTATATTTTCTTTTTAAGTTTTGTTTTGGTAGAATTTAGCTAAATATTGTTGAATCTTCCTTTGTGACTTTCTACATTTTCCTTTTAAAATTTGTGCAGGCACAACCTGAAAATGTATTGCGTGGACAAAAATAGAACTTTTGGCTAAATAATAGGTTTTACTGTTTTATTTTCAAACTATGGAATTACAGTGCTAAACAATTAAATCCCAAAATCATATTAAATAATGTGTAATAATGTGTCGTTGTAAATCTGAATATGAAATATCGATGGAGTTTATTATTTACCTACTGTAAATATTACATAAACAAATTTACTGTTATGTGATTTTGAGTGTAACAGTAATAATATTTGAAACTAAATGGATCTAATTTGTTTCATCTGAGTGGCACCTTCTTACTATTTCTAATTATGTGAAACAAATCAATAATAGCGCCTAAGAATAATTATGTGGATGTTTATTTTTTCTTGGTGTGCAATTGTTACTTTTGTGATGACATTGATCTTCTGTGCCTGTTGGAGAAAGAAAACAGTAAAGTAAGTAGTTAAAATATACTACATTCTTATAATTTCAGGGAAACTTGACAATACAAATATTAGTTAATTGTAAATGATTTATTAAAAATTTATTGTTAAGTTAGTAATATTGAAGGTTGTATTAATCTCCAAGAAGATCTTTCCACCTTGTTAGATTGGTCAGAAGCTAATAATATATCTTTAAATATTAATACAAGCCAATGTATAACCAAAGAATATAGACTATATCCTTTGGTATAACTTTCACAAGAAAAGGTTTCCTGTGATATTTTACTATTCTCTTGATGTTTGTCTAGGGTTATTGAGGATTTGTTTTTGATGCTAAAATATCATTTGTTCCTCAACTATCCAAACTTGTACTTAGAGAAATTTGTAAAGACTTTCCAGTCTTTATTGCCTGTCCTCACAACTCAACATTAGTTGATCAACAAAATTTGAAGAATCTTGAATTAATTATTGTTCACATATTTCATTTAAAATTGAATCAAAAAGCCAATCTAAAAATGGTACCCAACATCGTTATGCCTGAATCTATAGAAATTGTTATAAAGAAAAATATAGAAACTATTTAAGAATGTCAGAGGAAAAAATTTGACAAGCTGCTGTACAAAGATCAAGATTCCATAAAAAACATGCAATGATGCGATCAGTATCCAATATCACCAAAAATTAAATCTTTTTATAGAAGAAAGTACAGTAAGTACAGAAAGTTTATGTACATATTAAGGTAAATGTACTAGTAGTTGACATTATAAGAAGAAAAAAAAAACATTATTTAGCCTCAAACCGATGTAGATGAAATTAAATAAAAAATATATGTATATTCAGGTAATCTAATCCTTCCTGAATATTTAACAAATAAATTTTTGGACAAGTCTGCTTTCTAAATATTTTTTATAAAATTTTCAAAAATTGTTGCAAAAGTGTCAGTAGTTGACACAACAAAATGAAAAAAAATTAGTAGTTGACACATCCAAGGTTTAGTAATTGACACCCAAATATATTTTGATAATTTTATTAAGAATATGTAATTACAGGAGAACTTTAATGTTAGATGTTTCCACATCCACTGAATCTGGAAACTGATACTTTATTCTTTCTCATGAAATGAGTATCTGAGGTTGGGGCATCCTTTTGCAGGTTTTTGAGGATTTGATGAGGATTTGAAAATGTTATTACTCTCACATCTTTATCATTAATTTGAAAAGAAGTTTTACTGTCATTTTACTGCTACCAAATTCAACCTATGATTCATTATTATCACTTGATGATTCTTCCTTTTTCTTACTTACTTTTTTTTCGTCGCTTTCAGTTTCTGTTTTTTAACAAAGTTTTTTTCTTCTCTTTTCTTTTGTCTCTCTTCTGCTCTTTTCTGTTTTTCTTCAAGAAGCTCGATCTTCTTATTTTCTTTATTTTCATGATAAGTTTGCCATTCTTTTGAACTAGCCACAGAAGGAACTTTTTCCACTCTTCTTTTTTTTTACTGCGGATATTCTGGGTTCAGGCCAAAACAGTATTCATTTAAAAGGAGAGGGTATAATTTCATTTGATGTAGAAGGTGTAGGTAATTCTTCAATTGCTGAAGATGGAACTTGTGATTGTGTTAATGAAGAAGCACAAGTGTCTTGAATAATAGCAATATTGTTATGTTGAAGATTTTTCCTAGTGGGACTAGTGTGACTTTCCAAAACATCCGAAATGTTTCTACCTGGTTCAGCCTCAGATTGGTTTAATAACTCACCTACTTCATACTGTTCTTCGACTGGCTTATCAGGTTTGTTCTCTACGTAAATGTCTTCAACATTAGGGCTGTCTTCAACATTTGGAATGTCCTCAATATAAGTGGCATCTTCAATAATATTATCTTCATCATCTGGTTCTTCTGCACCTTGTTTCGCTTTCAAATTGTTTATTTCTTCTTCTAAAAGACTGTATTTTATGCAAATGTTTTTGTAAAAGTAAAAGAGAAATAAATCTTCATTGTCATTGTTCCATTTTAGGCTTGTTTTGAAAAGAGCTAGTTTTTGTTTATCAATATGTTTCTCTATAAAGTTTTTCCCTTGTTTCATTTCCTGCAATTCCTGCATTTTCTTTGAAATGTCTATTTTCTCATTGTGAAACATAATCGCACCAACATCCTAGGGAACTAAGCCACATTTTCGGAAACCATTTTTTAAAATTGATGGTACTTAACCTTTCCTCTAGAACTTTTTTCAAAAGAGGACAGCAGTGAATTTTCCTTAAAACTGGAGAAGCCTGATTCTCAATCCGCCACTGGTGTACTGCATCTTTCCAACCCCCTTTCAAAGAACGAAATACAGCAACATCCATTGGCTGAAGCAAATGTGTTGCATTTGGATGAAGGGCTACCAATATAATACCATGTTCACTGCAAAATCTGCTAGTGTGTAATGTTAAATGTTGCTGAAACTGGCTTTCTACATAGAACTTCCTCAATAGCTTTCTCCATAGCTTCTTCTGTATATTGGAACATTTGTCCTTTTATAGGAGGCATATTTTTAACTGAAATTTAAAATTTTTGTTTTAGTAGTTGACATCCAAAGTGTTTCAATAGTTGACATAGTGTCAACTACTAGATAGAGTGGATACATTTACGTGATATTTAAAATATAAGTGTACACATTATATACAATGAAAATAACAATAAAATATTAAGTTTTTACAGTCTCAGTATAAATGGTTAGTAGTTGACACCTATGTCAACTACTAGTATTTTTGTGTATTTGTGAGTTAGTAATTGACACCTAGCCTAATTTTTGTTTTGAGAATAAAACAAACTTAAAACATTAGCAAGATGTTACCTTAATATTCATATAATATATTGATATATCTAAAACTACAGTCATTCACAATTTAATCAATAAATATTAATTTTTTTAAACTTATCTTCTTAATACTTTTGTTTAGAAAACTTGTTGCCACTTGAAGCTCACACAACACTTTGACAAAAATTTGGTGGGAATTTTCTGTTTCAAAGTTAAATAATTCTACAGTTACAGAGAAGATGTATAAATGACACTACTTAACTATGATGGTAATAATTACATTAAAAATAATTGGAAAAGCTTATTATTTATGCTTAAAATGAAAAATGTCAACTACTGGTACAGTGTCAAGTACTAGTGCATTTACCTTATATTATGAGATGTTATAAGATTTTATTTAAGTATATTTTTTTTTACCAAAGTACGTGATAAAAGTGTACATTCTAAGCAGGCATTATTCTGCAAATTCTCCATGCATTGTTGTCTGCAGTATGAATGATTTAAAATGAAATATGAAGATTTTTCTCCCTTTATCTGTTTGAAATTGCTTTAGATTGGTATTTATTGTCAGAAGGTTAAAACACTGAAATTACAGAAACTCATGTGCACCGCAGCATCTTTCAAAGTTAACAATTGTTGATTGCCCAGTTCACACATTTTAAGACAAGCTTTAACTTGAAAACAATTCGTGGTGATTCATCACTTAAACAATAAAAGTTTGACTAGATCAAACTTTTTTTGACCAACCAAAAAGTTGATCAATTCTGTTGAAAGACAGGATTTTTCTCTCACTCACTAGATTTTTCATTCAACTTTTGTTATACAACTAAAATTGGTCAACTAAACTTGACTCATGGGAATGTGCCTTTACTGTTCCATTGTACTACTTGACTAATGTAGCCAGGACCAATGATTTTACATGCTCTCTGAAGAACATTGGTAGCATTGGCTTTGTAAGCTAGTATGTAGCCATTGAGCTCTGGCTGCCACCATTTATCACTTAAGTTAAACCTGTCATTACACTTCTCCTGCATGATAGGAGAATAGAAAGTATGGTTGAACAAGTTGGCTACTTTACTATAAGATCTTTTTCTATTTTTGTAGCCCCTCATCATTACAACACTAATTCATGTTGTTTCATTAAAAATTGTCTTTATTGTAGAGCTTTTAAAAATACATAAAACAACTGTCAGCTTTATTTACTAATACAATTTATTTTACAAAACTTTTCAATAAACATCAAGCTATTGTCACTTACTTATATAAATTAATTTCAAAATGACAGCGTTCTATTGTAATGAATTCAAAAGTTTTAGAAAATTCATTATAATTTAGATTAATTTTTTTTAAATAAAATTGCTCACCCCATCTCTCTGCCGAGTACTTTTAATTACTTCAAGGACTCTACTGCAATTCTAAATATATCCGTTAGATGAGAACATTCATTAACTTGTCACTTGTCTCGATTCTCAGCAGAAAAGATATAGCTATAGCTATATTTTATCTCTTAAAATATCAAACCGTTAAGATGTGATTCTGTTTATGTGGTCTCTTATAGAGGTCAGCCGAAAAAATCCTGTTCTTTTCTATATTTTCAGATAAATATTTATTTTTAGACCCTTATCGGTGAGGCTAGATTATTGTTAAACTATGTTTATTTGGCCTGAAGTAATATAAGTATGGACTCGGACATGGTATTCTAAACTCAGCCCAATATTCACTCACTATTCAAAGAAGAATAAGTTATGTCCACATGGGTTTTGTTTATTTTTTTAACTTTTGCAAAAATTTGTGCTGTAAAGTGCAAAATATTATTTATGCTGTTTCGTTGTGTCCAGATAGAATGTAGCAACTTTCAAAATTGTTAAGTTTGATATTACTCTCGTTTTAGAGGCATATTTTAAATAAAGAATATATTGAGGTTAACTATACAAAACAGGCATTTTTGGCCATCCCTGTGACTTATGCTCGAGATTTGTATGCCATATTTGCACAGGCTTACAAGTGCAAGAAATTTGGTGCATACCCAGCCTATCTAGGGTTATGCTGTTTGTCTGCCCGGATTGTCGCAAAAACATAAAAGCACCTGGCCGCTCAAAGCCTCAGTTGACATGACTAATGTTGTTTATGATGGTAATGTCCCTGATTTTCCTAACACCAATGTTGACATGATTTTAAACAGTTTAAAAACTTTGATTGATTCTGATTTGACAC